ACCCTGCGGTATCAGGGGGCAGCTCTCCCATGTCCAGAAGGACCCTGTGGTATCGGGGGCAGCTCTCCCATGTCCAGAAGGACCCTGCGGTATCGGGGGCAGCTCCCCTTACAGGGCAGGACACGGAGGGGCTCCACGGTGGGCCGGGGCCCTGTGCGGCTGCGGGTGCCGTGGCCGGCCTGGTTCTTGCTCGCCGGCTGCTCTGGAGCGAGAGGAGCGTGGGAGCTGGCCCTGCCCTGCTCAGTGTCCGACGGGGGGCGGGGGAGCGCGAGCACATTAATGCTCAGAGCTGCGCCCTTGCGCTCCCGTCGCCTGCGCTGCCCCATCAGCAGTAACAGTCTGATTAATTCGCTTCCAGCAGGGAGCTGATGGGGCCAATGATGGAGCCGCTGCATCAGGCGCGCTGAAATTGATAGTTTTTCACAGTTACAAATGAGGAGCCTCCTCAGCTGCAAATGGCGCCCGCACAGTCGGACTCCGGTAATGATCATAAAGAGGCTCTCTTTAAACTGCGAAAGCCCCTGGGACGGAGCGGGGGGGCGGCTGCCGCGCTAATGAGAACGACAAGGGGGCGAGCAGGCATGGAAATGGCTCCTCCACTCTTGATGTGCATTTAACTGCTTTTTTAGTGCGGCGGCAGCGCCAGGAACGAAGGAGTGATGGATGCAGCACAAAGGCATTTATTTTCCAATTCGGCAAAGTGGCTACGTTGGGAAATGTATGAATTATTTTAATTCACTCAACTGTCCTGAACCATCGGGGGGGGGGGGGGGAGTACACAGCCAGTATGTATGAGAAACAGGGCTTCCTCCGACTCACTTCACTCTCCCCAAACCTGGGGCGGTGGGGATCTGGGGGGCAGTAAGGAGAGGGGGGCAGGGAGGAGAGAAGACAAGGGGAAGAGACCAAACGCAGGGAGAATGGAGCTGGCAGCGTGGGGTGGGCAGAGGGGGTAAGGGGTATCCCCTGCAGAGGCAGCAGGCCCTGGGTGAGCAACGGCCCAGCATAGCTGCAGTCTCTGTGCGCTTGGCTCCCCAGCACAGACAGGCAACCGGCCCCAAGGCAGCACCCACCTCCCCACAGTGTCTGCTCCTGAGAACGCTGGCAGGGCGCTCAGTGCCAGGCTGCCGGCAGGGCACAGCTCCTGCAGGTGCCCGCACGCCCCTCCCGCCTGCAGCAGCTGAGCGACGCAGGTGAGGGAGAGGGAGCGAAGGGTACTCACGGGGGTTGGGGCAGCTGCTGGGGATCACCACAGCCTCGCTCCACTGGTCTGCGCTGGAGACGGAGTAGGAGCGCTGGTGCATGCCGTCTGGCTTCGAGCTGAAGCCCACCAAGTTGATGGAGCGTTCGGAGTGCAGGGAGGTGCTGCTGGTCGAGTGGGGGGCACCTGCAAGACAGGCACAAGTTCAGCACCAGGCTGCCCCCAACGGCACAGAAAAGTAAGTCAGACGCCCGTTCGCCAGCCGGGCCCCACAACACCTTTCCCCCCTACGACACG